GCGGGATGAGCCTGGATCCGCAGGGATGAGCCCCCACCGGCGGCAGGACCCGGCGTAGCCCCCCGTTTCTATCCCAAGCTCCCCTCTCAGCCCTTCCCATCCCTCCCTCGGCCGGGATTAGGGCAGGGGTGTCCAGGGAGATCGTGCCCCTGGGAGATGGAGCTGCAGGTTTGGAGGGGACTGGGAGGAAGGAACAGCTCCCTTCCCAAGTATTCCCCTGTCAGCCAGGCAGGATCAGGCCGGAGTCACTGCGTCCCTCAAGCACCGGGATTTGGTGGCGATGCTTTGCCTGGAAATGGGGCCGAGGAGGGGATCAGCAGTGCTGGCAGAGCAGGGACCCCAGGAACGCCCATCCGTGTGGTGTGGGGACACACCCGACCTGCTGGGAGCTGGAGTCTGCTCTGTTCCAATTACCAGCTTAATAGCTACATGGAGACCATTAAAAATGCATCAGTGCCTCCGAGGAAAGAACTTCAGGAGAAGTGGAAAATTCATCACTTTGAGCTCCCTTATTAGGAGAAAAGGTGTTTTTCCCCCCCCATTTGTCTCAAACAGAGGCAAAAAGAGGTTATTCCTGCCTGGTGACTCCCCCGTGGGACTGTCACGAGGTGCGAACAGGCAGTGCCCAAACCTGGGTGAGAAGGACACAGCTCCTGCTGCTGAGAAGGGAAAACTTGGCACCTCCAGCACAGGCAGGGGGCACGGGGACCAGGGATGGCAGCAGCTCAACCCTCCTTAGATGGAGAGCCAACAGCTCTCCCTGCCCTGTGCTGAGAACACATATTGGGAGCATGGTGTGATAATGAGTGACACAGGGACTACAGGCTCTCCATTGCCAAAAACCCCAGGCAGGTGTGAAGGAGGGCTCTTCATTGCCAAAACCCAGCCTTTTTAAGCACTTTAGACAGTTATCATGGTTTTAAGGCACAACAAGCCCAAGTCAACCAACCACCAGACACCATGAAGTGGGCACCATGTGGACTTGTGGCAGACACACAGCCACGTCTCTCTCATCTGTCACATCTCTCTCATCTCTGTACCCCTATTCCAGCTGAGTCACTTCCACATAGCTCCCTTCTCCTTAGCCTAAGAACAGGCTGGAGCCATCTTATGAGGCATTTCCTTTCCAAAGCCTTACAAGCAGTCCCTCTAAAAGGGCAGACCCCAAAGTGCTCCCCCAGTACAGTGCAGGTGTTTGTACTGGTCATACTGGCCCCTTTCAGGGGTGGCGCATCAGGAACTGTCGTGGTAGCACAAGGAGTAATGGGTTCAAACTGAAAAGGGGAAAATAAAGGCTTTAAACACAAGAAATTCTTGGCTTTGAGGGTGGTGATGCTCTGGCACAGGTTACCCAGAGAAGCTGTGGCAGCTGCATCCCTGGAAGTGTCCAAGGCCAGGTGGGATGGGGCTTGGAGCAACCTGGGGTAGTGCAAGGTGTCCCTGCTCACGGCGGGGGGTTGGAACTGGGTGATCTTTAAGGTCCCTTCCAACCCAAGCCCTTCTGTGCTTCCATTCTGTGGTGGTTCTCTCCAGGAGCTCCTGAGCTGGAGCTCACGCTGTTCCTAAGAGCCGTGTGCGGAGGAGGGCTGGCTAATGGATTAGCAGGGGGTGTGATGATGCAGCCAGTTTTCTGGGGCTGAGGGTTATTTATTTTGCTTAATTTTTCTTTCTTTTTTTTTTAAGGTGGTGGCTGAGCCCGTATCTAGGACAGGGGTGGCTTTTTTTGGTGCGGGTGGCCTGTGGGCACCTTGTCGCTCGATAGTGTAAATTAGCGAGTTCACCCAGGCCAGAGGTTTGTACCAGACGCGTTCAATCCTCCCCTAATAGCTGCCTCACCCAGAAACTTCCAAAGCTCTTGTAGCACCTAAGCACTAATGAGCTGAAGCTGCAGAATAGCAATGAGGCCTCAGGAATATGGATCAGCCTTTGCTGGCCCAGCCAGAGGCTCTAAAATCGTTTCAGCCGGCACCCAGAGGGACCAGTGCAGCCCAGCTGGGAGGGAAGGGTTTAAATGAGGTGCCTTGGGTGCAGAAGCCTTTGCTGCCCATGAGGAGCTGCTGGAGATGTCTCCCAACTCTCCTCTCCAAACAGAAGTGTAGGTGGCTTGTGTTGAGGTGAGGAGAGCTCAAACTCTGGTTGAACCACTGGTTTCTAGGTGCTTTGGTGCCCTGCCTTTTCCCCCTGATAATTGACCATCCCTGGTTGATCTAAGTTTATTTTTACATTTTGTTTTTACTGCTGCCTTGGACAAAGCATCTCCAAGCCCTTTCTGCCTGGTTTGCCCATTCAGCCCAGAGTGTGTGTGTTTATGGAGTGAGTGCACAGCTGCTCCATGCTCCATGCACAGCTGCTCCATCCCCTGGGAATTCTACATGACCAACACCAACAGGGTGCTGGAAAGCTGGGTTGGTTTCTCATGACCAACACCAACAGGGTGCTGGAAAGCTGGGGTGATTTCTCATGACCAACACCAACAGGGTGCTGGAAAGCAGGGCTGATTTCTCATGACCAACACCAACAGGGTGCTGGAAAGCTGGGGAAATTTCTGCTGGAGCCCCAAACCAGGGTGAAAACTCCTCTCTCGCCCAGCAACACCAACCTCCATCCAGCCTTCCCTCTCAGCTTGAATCTCTATTGACTTTTCCGAGGCAGGAACGCTGCTGGGGGAGCGCGGGGGTGGGAGGAGAAGCCTCAGCAGCCAAAGCCTGAAAATATCAAAGCTCGACGGCAGCGCTCGGGGGTGACCGGGGGGGTCACCGGCCCCGCAGGGAGCCCCGGTTCCCGGTGGATTTCCCGGAGCTTTTCCAGCCCCGGAGCGACGGCTGTGCCCCTCTCACGCTGAGTTAACCTTTGTGGAAATGCCAAGCGGAGCTGGAACAGGCTGTGCGTCTCCAGAGGGGGCTGAGAGGAGCCTCGGTGGCTTTTGCGCCTGATTTGCAGCCCGGGTGGAGCAGGAGGCACAAACCTTGATGAGCAAAGCTGCCACCTTGATATCAGCTGTGTTTTCCCCGCTCAGGGCCGCTTGTTTCTCCTGGAGGGACACACTCCTGACTGAAGCTGGGATTTCATAAATAAACCCCGAGGTTTCCGACAAAAAGCTCTGGCTCGGGCTCGAAGCTGCCACGAGTGGTGTGCGGCTGCTCTGAGCACCAGTGTTCCGCTCAGTTAATTAATTAGCGATTAATTAGCGTCTCTCAGGTCATGCCGACCCTCTGCTCGGGCTCTGCAGAGCATCACTACTGCAACAGGTCCCGTTCCGAGCCGGAGCCGATGGATGGATTATCCCGAGCATCCTCCAGGATGTGCCTGCGGATTGGGGAGCCCTGGCTGCGGCAGGAGGTGCTCGGTTCCAGGGATGCTGCTCAGGGATGATGCTCTGTGCTCGCAGGTGCTCTGTGCTGCTCCAGGGATGATGCTCAGTGCTCGCAGTGGCTCTGTAAACACCCAGCAGCTGCCCAGGATCGATCTGGGCTGGCTCAGCTCGCTCCGGGCACGGCACAGACCCGGAGGAGCGGGTGGGCAGCGTTGTTGGTGGAATTTTGGGAGCCTGGGGTAAGGCAGGAGAAATGGGGAGGTGCTGGTGTGAAAGGTAGGGATGTCACTGGGATTCCTCAGGCAATGAGAAATCTTCTCACACCGCTGTTTTCCATAAGGGTTGTGGGGTTTTTTAAGTTTATGCCGTGCCTCTTTTGAGGAACCTCTCCAAACAGCCCAAAAGTGGTCTGTGGGTTCTGCTGACTGCACCCCACCTCCCAAATCTTTCCTGGGCTCTGACCTGGCCCCTTTTGGCTCAAGGGGTCAGGACCTTCAGCTGTGAGAACCCTCCAGCCTCTCCCTCTCCTTTGAATAACTCAGAGTGAAATCCACAGGAATTTGGGTTTGCTGCAGGCTGGAGCACCTGATTTCCCTGTGGGCACCTCAGCCAAGACTGGAAGGTTGTTTTTGGGGTGCAGAGCAGCCTCTGTGAGCTGCATTTGGGGGATGCTTCCCCTCGGGGAGGGGGCAATGATGGGGGCTCTGCCCTCCCTGAGCCCCAGCAGCAGCAGGACGTGTCCTTTGTCATCACCCTGCCCCACCCTGAGCTGCTTTAATTACAGCTCTGAGAGAGATCTTCCCCTTTATTCCCCCAAATCTTCTCCTTAATTAAAATCTTCGATCTGGGCCAGCGGGAAGCAGCTGTTGCCTCTTTGCAGCGTGCTGCAAGCTGCCAGCCTGAGTGTGGGCCAGGCAGGGACAGTGAGGGGACAGCACAGGGACATTGGCACTGCCATTGTCACTGTCCTAGCCAGCCCCAAATTTTGTGCCCAAGATGGGCTAAAAGGCCAATAATTTTTTTTCTTTTGTTGCAGCGTGCTGCGAGCTGCCAGCCCGAGTGTGGGCCAGGCAGGGACAGGGAGGGGACAGCACGGGGACATTGGCACTGCCATTGCCACTGTCCCACCTGCTCAAGGCTGCTGGGAGCCTTGCACTGCAGAAGTGAGGGCTGAAATCATCTGAGCTGAGTGGGGATCAACACTGGGTCCCTTTGCACCTTCCCACCATGGAGCTCTTCCAGTAAGGGTGAAAATGTCCCGAGTGCAACGAGCCCAAACCCATTTGGGGTTGCCAGCTCCTGATCTGGAGAAGGGCTGGATGGTGCAGGTGGATGAAGGTGAAGGTGAAGCTGGGGCTGTTCCTTGAGTTTTGTCCCTGAGATCCGCAATGTGCCTGGCCAGGGGCAGCTGTTTCTCACTCAGAGGAAGCCCATTGAACCCAAATCCATGGCTGGCACGTCTCGGGTGGGACACCCCTGTGTCCCCAATCTCACCACAGCCTGGGGACATTCCCTGCCATGGCCTCGCAGCCTCCTCGTGTTTTCTCCCAGGATTACCCAGGGAGGTGACTTTACCATCCCTTCCTGCTCTGTTTTCCCCCAGGCTTAGCCCAGGGAGGGGATTTTACCCGGGCGTTCCTGCAGCTCTCCATCGTCACAGCAACGGGGAAGCGTCGGGAACAATTGGTGAGCTGGTGGTGTCAGCTTTATCTCAGCTGATGTGTCTCTCCTTAATGAAACTTGTGGAAGAGAAAAGCAGGGAAGAAAAGGGAAAAGGCTGCTGACAACAGATGTATTATTTCTATTTCACCTCAGATTTACTGGTGCATGCATTTTTCATTCATGGAAGAGGCTGATATGCAGATTTATTCAGAGCAGAGCAGGTACAACCCTTTGTGGATCAATTCCTGCAGCAGGCTTAGGAGAAAAGGACTTGGCTGAGCAGAGAGCCATGCAAGGCACTTCCCAAAGCCAGCCCCAAATTTTGTGCCCAAGATGGGCTAAAAGGCCAATCATATTTTGTTTTCTTTTTTTTTCTTCTTTTTTTTTTCTTTTTTCTTTTTTCTTTTTTCTTTTTTTTTCTTTTTTTTCTTTTTTTTTATTTTTTCTTTTTCTTTTTTTTCCCCTTTTTTTCCTTCTTCTTCTTGTTTTGTTTTGTTTTTCTGCAAATCCACCCACTTCAGCCCAAATTCTGTTCCTGTTTTTGGCCAGGGGAAACTTCCACTGCAGTTACAGCTTGTGTTTCCCACATACTTCAGCTGGGGTGGCCTGGGTTGACTTTGTTCTTTTTCTAGCTCTGCTTTACTGGGGGCTCATTGCCCCAGGGTGGCTTCACCCTGTTTTGGAAACGGTGAATTTATGTTATGGACTGTATATAAATATATAAATATATATCAATATATAAATATATACCAATATATATCAATATATAAAAATATAAATATATATATATATATATAATATTAAATACTGTATTATTTATATTGAGATGGCTTCTTCAGGAGACCCTTCTTTGTCCTGGCTCCTTGGTCACCAAAGTCATACCTTAAACACCTGAGCCAGGTGTCTCTTAGTGGTAACTAAAATTTGGCCTCCAGACGAGTCTGAAGCTCTTCTCCTTCCATACAGATCACGTTGTGGTTTCTCTGTGGTTTGGGGGGCTCTGCTCCCCTGGGGGAGGGCACCCTCTGGAAGCCAAGCAGAATTTAATCTCCCTGCAGTGATGAAAGTGAATCCAAGAGAAGTATTTGAGGTGTTTTTCCCCTCTCATTAGGAATGGAAGACAGGAGTCTTCTGTCTTCTGGGTACTATACAACCAGCATGAATTATTTAGGACCAAGCATCTCTCCGATAAATAATTTTTTTATGTGGGGAGATTAAATCTGAATTTTTTAAAAAATATAATAACAAAAGCAATTTCTCTCTCGTAAGTCCTCATATTTCACCCAGCAAAGAGATCCCAGGCATCCATTCCTGTATTGATCAGCAAATAGGTCCTTTTATAGATTTAGTTCACCCAACCTTGTTTAATTTTGGATTCATTGATTCAATGCAAAGATCTAGATGAAAAGCAAGTGGGCTGTTTCCAGTGCTGGTGATGCTATTTTTAAATAAATCTAGTGCATGCTAAAATAAATATGCAAAACATTTTGTAAGGCCGCGTACGGGGTGGGGAGACCAGATGTACTAAAATATTTAACAAACTTTTCCCTGATTTCTCCAAATGCATGTTTTATTTACTAAACACCAGTGGAATTTAATCTCACCCAGTGTTTGCTCCGACCCGTTGTCTGGGGTGAGCAGGAACGTGGGGCCTTGGAGGAGCTGTCTGTGCAGTGACATTGGTGGCACATTTAAATGCAAAGCTCATTAACCGTGTCTGGGATTTTTTGTTTGTTTCTCCCTTTTTTTTTAATGTTCACATTCCCTACAAGAGCAAGAGATGAAATACCCATCTACAATTCCCTTTCATCTCCAGGCTGGGGTTTTTTTTCCCCCCTCTTTTCTTGCTCAGATGACAAAGTTTCTCATTTGGTATTTCATTTGATTTCAGGAGATGAGAAAGAATTAAAAGTGTCTTCAGGAGGTTGGGCTCACCTTACTCTATCCAGGATCCTTCAGGAGGAGGATGAGTGACTTGGCAAAGGCTCCTGCCCCCAAAGGATGGGGTTCATCTCAAGGTCAGATCTGCATCCTGGCTTTTCCTTCACCTGGGGTGGCCATCCTGCAGATCCCACAGATCCCAGCCTCCTTTCCTGGGGCATCCCATCCCACTCTGGGTCTTTGTGCCTGTCTCCTCCCAACCCTCTGCCTTCAATCCAATCTCATTTAATTGAATTGTGGTTTTGATCACATCTGACGGTTGGCAGAGATCTTGCTGATAATCAGATTCCCATGGGAGAGGTGGAAATGGGGCTGGTGGAGGAGGGAGGGGAGACAGGGGCTGGTGTGATGCCACCTGGTCCTTATGTGCCACCAGGGAAATGACACAGCAGCCAGGCTATGTCCCCTTTGGGGATGGGTAAATTAACTGAATGTCCCAGTGGGGGCTGAACCCTGCAGGTTGTGTTGGTTTTGGTTAAAAAAAGGCAATTTCTTGGCAAAACCTTCCCACCTTGCTGCAGGTTGGGGCAAATGCAGCATCCCCCAGCACTCCTGGTGCCCAGCCTGGCCTCACCCTGCCCTGCCTGGACTCTGTGCAGGGATGTGCTCAGCTCTCTGCACATCTGCCACGTGTGTGGTGGCAGGTGGCAGCAATTAATTACAGAGATTCATGTGTGATTTGCATTAATTCAGCTGGAAGTGCAGCCCCTGGCATGGGGGAATGTTCCTTGCAGAGCCCCCTGCTCCAGGTGCCTTTCTGCCAGCCAGTGCTTCAGGGGGTGTTTGTGGTGATTTTGGGGGTACCAAAACAGGAGGGGCAGAGCAAGCAGCAGCTCCTCCTCCATCCCTTGAGGCTTGCCAGGGGCTTGGGCATGGCAGGGAACGCTTTAGGTGTGCTGGGACACCAAGAATTTCCCCCCAAACTGGGATGAAGACAAAATCCTCCACCCTGACCTCAACCTCTCCCCTGCGATGCCAGAGGGACACATGTGCCCCATTCCAATGCCCCATTCCAGTGCCCCATTCCTGCTGACCCCAGGCCCCTGGGGAGGAGAAGATGAGGGTCCACAACCCAACCCCACCCCTGTAGGGCTGTGATGTGGGGCTGCCATTGCATGAGACCACCTCATACTGGGTTTGCAGGTTCAGCACAGAGGCTCGGTGCTCCTGCTCTGCCTGAGCTCTCCCTGGCCTGGCACAGCTCTGCTCCCCTTGGTTTGGGTGTTTCAGCAGCTTTTCCTGTTGAGCTGTGGCTAATTTACCTCCTTGCTGCCTGTGGTTTAATGCACCCAATCCCCTTGGGCCAGAGAATCCCAGAATGATTTGGGTTGGAAGGGACCTCCAAAATCATTCAATTCCAACCCTAGGACAATTTCCACAGGACCACATTGCTCCAAACTGCATCCAGCCTGTCTTTGGACGCTTCCAGTGTAGAAAGAGAAGAGATCTACGACAGAACTGCCAGAGGAGGATGCAGGGCTGTATTTATGGGTGTACATCAGGAAAGAGAGACTCCTGCAAGGAGCCTGCAGTGTGCTGGCTTGGTCCAGGAGAGGTAGCAGCAAGCCAAGAGACTCAGATATCCTGGCCAGAAGGATGGGAGAACATTGCCAAGACAAGCAGGTGTCCAACAGAGCAGCTCAGGGCCTGGAGGAGATGGGGGGAGACTGGAAAGGAGCAATGAGGAAAAAAAACCCTGAGGTGTAAGGTGACAGCTAGAAATAGAAGGGAGCAAGTGATATTTGTATCAGAGGTATCCTGGGGAAGGCATGAAGGAATCCAGCCCTGAGAGGAATCCAGCTCCTCTGTTGAAGCTTTTCCTCTCAAACCCAGCATAAACCATCTTAAAGGCTCAGCTCAGCTCACCATGAGAGAGGATGGAGCTGCCCATGGCAGCCAGGCACTTCCACTGGTCCACTGGCTTGGTTCTCACCTCCACTGGTTTGGTTCTGATCAATAATGAGCTAATTAGTTGCTATGGAGATGTAATGTGGGAGAACTTTGGGGAGAAGAAATTATAGGTAATTTTTATTTGTTTGGGCCCTGTTCCTATAGCAACAGGAGAACTTGTCACTGACTACCAGTTGGTTTCCATGGAGTTGGCTGCTAGTTCTGGGTTATTAATGCCTCCAAGCATAAAACAACTCACCTAGTAGGGCTGGTGGATTGTCCTCCATCATCCATGGGAACTTTGCAGTTTGCCAAGTCGGGGCCTGGCTCTTGCAGTGGAATGTGCATGCTCCCAAAAGTTGGGATGGATGGAGCGTTCATCATCAACCAGCAGTGTGGAAGTGCTGGGAGGATCGATCGTTCTGCCCCTCTCTTGAGTTGAAGACATCGTGGAATGAATAATCCATCACTTCATGGCTTGCTCCACTCGCAGCATTGCCTGATTTTTAATTGGGTTTTCTCCGTCTTCAGCTTCCAGATGCTTGGCGTTGATCTGCCTTTCTCTGCTAAATTAAAAAGTCTTTTAGCACCTGGCAGTTTTGCTGTAAAGGGACTCACTGTAATTAAGTCCCTTTCTCCTCTCCCCAGCCCTGGTTCTCCTGAATGGAGCCGTTTGTTTTCCTGCAGCCCCTCACCTGAGGCGTTCTCATTTCCGCGCTCCTCCGAACAAAGGGGATGTGGTGTCTGCCTTGCAGAGGGCTGCAGCTCTGTCGAGGGACCTCTCAAACTCCTCCAGAAGCCTTGGAACCAGACCAAACACTCCTGAGCGCTGAAGAGACTGGATTTGGGAGAGATTGGTTTTATGATAGGTTGTAATTTCCCTCCCACCAGCTAACTCCTCAGCTTTCCACAACTGATAATTACCCAGTAGGAGCTAAAATGTCTCTCCCCACTCCCCCCTTATCAACCCATTCTCCACTTTGAAGGCACCACCACTTCTTCCCAGAGTGTCCTGGCCGATCTCTCGGAGCACCTGCTCATCCTCTGTTGCTTTGGAAGATGGTGCCACATCCAGGACCTCTCCCCTTGGAGACCGCTCTGGCTCCAGCTCTGGAGGCAGATAAGTCAATCAGCGTGTGGATAAACCTTTAATGGTGTTTGGCTGAGCTCGCCAGGCAGCCGGAAGGGAGGCACGAAGCAAAGGGCAGCTCCCCACCAGCAGCCCTGCCTGGGATCTCTTGGCAAGCTCTGCTGCTGGCCCCAGCCCTGCATGCTGTGCTCGCAGCTGCTCCGGCCCCGCTGCTGAGGCACGGCCCAAGGAGGCTGCAGATGGGGCTGGAGGATGAGGCTGAGGATGAAGGCTGGCTGTGGAGACGGGAGCAAAGTCCTGAGCCCTCCAGGGGGGGTCTGGCTGACAAAGCCAAACCTTCAAGGTGGAAGAAAGGCTTCATCCAAGAGTTCCTGCATCGCCTTGGTGCCACTTGATTTGCAGATAAATTATGCAAGAAATCCCTCTGCAAACTCTGTTTGCTCTTCTGTGACGGTGTTCTCTTCCTTCCTTAGGATGAAGGAAGAGACAAAGATCTGACTTTATGTTTCAGAAGGCTTGATTTATTATTTTATGATATGTATTACATTAAAACTATGTTAAAGGAATAGAAGAAAAGGTTCCATCAGAAGGCTAGCTAAGAGTAGAATAACAAATGATGATAACAAAGGTTTGTGGCTCAGCTTTCTATCCGAGCTAGCTGGGCTGTGATTGGCCATTAATTACAAACGTTTAACATGGGCCAATCAAAGTTCTGCCTGTTGCATTCTACAGCAGCAGATAATCAATGTTTACATTTTGTTCTGGAAGCTTCTCAGCCTCTGAGGAGCTAAAAATCCTAAAGAAAGAATTTTTCATAAAAGATGTCTGCAACATTCTTCCATGTGTTTCTTTCCAAGAGTGGTGCCCATGGAGAGAGAGGCTTGGGAAGTTCTGTATTTATTTACCATCAATAAGCAGTGATGGCTTTAGCAGAGGCTGGCTGTTGGATGGAGATGTTAGCTGGGTGAAAGGGGCACATCCAGCACACCAGAACCAGCTCTGGGTTGGGGATGCAGGAGATGGGGGCAGGAGATGCTCAAGAGGTGTCATGCTGGGAATGCATCCCATTGTCCCTGCCTGTGGCAGTGCTGGGGTCTCTCTGCCCACATCAGAGTGGTTGGTGGCTGTAAATAACAGGGATGCCCTGGGTGGTCACCTCCAGCCTGGCTGTGATCCGTGACTCACCAGCTTCCTGTCCACAGCAACGCTATGGATTGACTCATGGCTATGGGAGTGTTTCACCCTGGGCCCACAGCCCTTTGATTTCACCAGACACCCCTGTGTGTTTACAGACCAGAGATCTCCATTTGATCAGGGCTGTGAAAACTGGTGACATCCTGCAAAGCCACTCAGCAGGTGATGCTTCATCCTGAGCTTCACCTCCTCCTCCCCTTCCCTCATGTGTGGCTGGAAAGAAATTCTTCCTGGCTTGCTTTCCTCTCAAATTTACCTCCTTGCTGTTGGCAGGGTGCAGCCCTGGGGTTTAATGCACCCAATCTCCTTGGGTCAGAGAATCCCAGAATGGTTTGGGTTGGAAGGGACCTTCCAGATGATTCAGTTCTGACCCTGGGACAGCTTCCACTGGACCACATTGCTCCAAACTGCATCCAGCCTGTCTTTGGACACTTCAGTTTTCCCAAGCTGGGCTTTGCTTCGCCTGTGTTGGTGCAGTCCCTTGAAAAATCAGTGTTTTCAGTGTTTTTCCATTTAATGTCTCAGCCTTCCTGAGCCTGGAGCAGCCAGGGCTCTGCACCAGAGCAGGCATGGGGCCTCATGGAGGTGTGGGAAGGCAGATGATGTGGCCCTTTGGAAACAGCATCTGAAGAGGGGTCTGAGCATGGAAATTACCTGGGAGGGTGAGCCCAGCCTTTGGAAAATAGCTTTGAATCACAGAATCATGGAATGGTTTGGGTTGGAAGGACCTTGACATCATCTAGCCCCACCGCCCTTGTCATGGGCAGGGACTCTGTGTCCCTGGTGCCAGTGGAGCTGTGCTGCTTGGCTCTGAGCATCTGTCACCACCATGGCACAGCAGGGAAGGGGTGGTGAGTGCCATGTCACCAGGTGAGGCTGGTGGCAGCTGGGAGAGCCATCCTGGGGGCTGTGCTGGCTCCTGGCACGTCCATGTGGGGCTCCTCTCCTGCAGCAGGCTCTGAGGGACATGGTGGAGCCTCCTTGGAGGGTGTGATGGGAAAAGCTGGCGTGGCTGTGGTGAGCACTGGGGATCCCGCCCGGCTCTGTGGTGGGAGGAGGACACAGGGATTGTTTGGATGACACACGAGCTCATGCTTTTACTCTGAGTAACCTTCTCCTGGCAGAGAATGGAGCCTTCTGCCATGCCCATGCTCCAGAGGGGTCCATGGCAGAGCCCTGGAACAGGGCAGGCACATCCAGCCCCTGTTTATGAGAGTGTCCATGGCCACCTGTGGCAGCAGAAGCTGGCCATGGAGGAGCTCCATGCTGAGACAAGCCGGGGTGGCAGCTCCTCACATCCAGCAGCTCTGCCATGGCTCTAACAGGCAGGTTTGGGTTGTTCTCCACAAAGTAGGCATGACCTGTTTGGGTGCGATGCTGTCCCAACCTCCTGCTGCAGGTTTCTGCTGTCCCCAGTTCTTTGTGATGCCTTCAGCCAGCTCTCCTGGGAGGTTCTCTAGTGCTGAGGTGTCCAGATTGGCTTATGGTGAAGCCTGGGGTCCTTCCCAACACGTCCAGGATTTGTCCACATCCTAAAGGCCAAGCAAACTTTAGAGGAATGAATTAACCACAGAATGGTTTGGGGATCCCAAAGATCATCTCATTCCCATCCCTGCCATGGGCAGGGGCACCTTCTACTGTCCCAGGTTGCTCCAAACCCTGTCCAACCTGGCCTTGGACACATTCACAGTCCACCCATTTTCAGCCCTGTTGGTTTTAACCAGCCATAATTTGGACTTGGAGAATGCTGTGAACCTGCAGATCCTGGTCCTGGAGCAGCTCAGGAATGAGTAGGGAGAAGCATTTCTCCAAAAACCTCATGTGTGACCTCACAGCTTCAGTCTGAAATAAAACTGAGGAGCACAAAGGCACTTGGAACACACCAGACACCAGAGTTACACTGGGGCAAGCCCAGGCTGGATGACAAAGCCATTTTGCCTTCAGGAATGGCCCCAGCAGACCCCATCCTGCACAAAGGCCTTGCTGGCAGCCTCCTCTCCTCTCCCTCCTCACAGCTATGGCCAAAAGGAGATTGCATGTGCCAAGGGGTGGATCTGCAGCCTCCTGTCCCTCCCTGCCCTGCCTCAGTGGGAACATGTCTGTCCAGGTGAGCATGGCAAGGTGTTTCCTGTGGAGCCACTAACCAGTGGTTGAGCAGGCTTGCAGGGAGGTTCTCCTCCTTCCCCAGCCCTTTCCCTGCTCTGGCTCCATCCGTGGGCAGCGTTCTCTCTGAGCTGCTGAGGTTCCTCAGCCTCCCCATGGCAGGAATGGAGGTGTGGAGGTCTCCTCTGGGCTCCAGCAGCAGAACGGGGTGGTGAGGGCTGGCTCCAAAGAGGTGAGACCTTCCTACACCAGTGCTGGGGAGGCAGGAGTGAGAGGAGAGCTCCAGGAGCCATCTCAGGAGCTGAGTGTGAGTCTGGGATGGGATGGGATGGGATGGGCGAGCCTGTGCAGCTGCTCCAGCCTTGTTTCACCTCCCACTGAGGTCCAGAAGGCTCCTTGATTGCCAGGAAGGGTCATTGGGAGGTTCAAAGCAGTGATCTACAGCAGTCCACCTCTGCTGGAAGTGTTCTAGAGGCTCAGGGGATGAATCAGCCATTTCTTGTAGGACCTGGGAGGGTTAGGAGGAAATCTGGGGGTTTTCTCCAGGTCTGGGCTCCTCATCTGCCCCCAGCAGCAAAGGGAAGAGTGGATGTGGAGGCCCTGGGGGTCACCTCAGTGCTTGAAAGGACTCAGGGGGTTTTCTGGTCTAGCAATGTGCTCCAGCCCTGGACAGGGCTTTCCATCCCATCTGGGCAGCCAGGCCAGAGCTGGAGTCTGTTTTTGTAGGAACTGTTTCTGCAGAGAGATTTCCTTGCTCTGTCCTCCTCCATCTCACCACAGCCTTTTCCATGGGTGTTACTGGGGCTGTTTCTGGGCTGTCTCTGACAGGACTCCCTGTTTGGACACTGACAGGGATTTTGTTCTCGGTGTATGCACAGGGTATTCTGTGTCCCTGTACCCTGCAGGGCAGGCTGTCCTGGGGCTGGTGGCTCTCTGGGGGTGCCACCCTCTGTGTCTGTGCCAGAGAGGAGCTCACAGGGTGCAGGGTTCATGGGTGCTGCCGTTGGGTGGGACCCAGGGCTGTGTTCCATCTCTAGGACACCGTGCTCCCTTCTCCTTCTCCATCCTGTTGAAACTTCCACCAGCCAATCAGCTCCGGCAGCAGAGCAAACATCATCTGGTAATTAATCTGCACAGATGGGATTTGTTTGAGCAAGCTGGTGTGCACTGGCCTCAGAGGAGGGAGCAGCAGGGCCCTGGGGTGGGGGCACCTCACACACCCTGCTCCAGGCTCTCCCAAATGTCCAGGGCATTCCTGGCATCACCAGATCTTCTGGCCAGTGCTTGGGGCTGAAGGTGGTCCAGGACATTCGGTTTTGTCAAAGGAGAGAGATGTGAGAAAATGGGTTTTGTGGTTGTGAAACCCTGATGGAGCCAGGGAAGGAGGGAGGGAGGAGATTCCCACTCCCCTCTCAGGGGCTTCTGGCGCTGCTCCATGCCCTGTGATCAGAGCAGCTGGGCTTGGACATGGAAAACATTGAAATGGAAAATGTTACAATGCTGTCAAAGATCTCACCTGGAAAACCTCAAAGTGAATGGGAATCTGCATCTCCTAAGGGAAAAAAAAAACTTTTGGAAGCCCTCAAGTGGTTCAGTGCCCTTGAATTATTTTTTGCTCCCCTGGTAATTATTGCCTCAGTTTGTGCTGTGTTGGCAAAGTGCTGCTGTTGCCCCAGAACCTCATTTTTCAGGTGATGTTGTTTGCTGCAGTGGTGGCCACAGGGGCTCACAGCTCCATGGCCAGAGCTGAGGACAGAGGAGGAACCTTCCCAATGCCATTGGCACCAGGAAAAATCCACTGGGCACTCAGAGCCCTGCCCTGCTCAAGGAGGGCATTTTTGGGGACAGACTGGGAACATGGAGCTGTGTCTGAGCCCTTAGAGACAGAGCCCTGCCAGCCATTAGGGAGGGACACATGGAGATGTGTCCCTCCACGTGTCACCTCCATGTGCTGGCTGCAGGTGACAGAGGCCAGGGGCAGCTCCATGAACCACAGGAGAGCAGAGCAGCCCTTCCAGCCCCAGAGATTTCACCTCCCTGGCATCAGATCCCAGCCTGAGCTGCCCTCCCATTCTGTGTCCCTGCCTGCCTGCAGCTGGGGCTGCTCCTGTTTTTAACAGAGCATTTCTAGATTACAGCAAGTG